TCTTTTGTACTGATTTCCGGGTTCTTAGTTATTCATCGGTTTTCTGTTCCCCCTTGTGCCGTTTCATTTTATTTCTGTAGATAAACTACCGGTAGTTTGTATCAATATTAAAATCATGTAGGTAGTTTTGGTTAAATCGAGCTTTCAGTTGAGGAATAAAAATTGAGACTACATTACTCGATTCAACTCGCAGTCCCCGGGTCTTTCAATAGATTCACAGCTTGGTCCTATAACATTGACATTTGAATTATCACCATACAATCGTCTTGAATTTGGTTCAGAATCCAATATATTCTTCACTAATGCATCTGTTGCTTGAATTCTAACAATTGCAAAGTATTACAGGCATTATTTCAAAATGAATAACAGTCATAATTTCTGATGACTAAGTCTTTTAAGTCATTGGAAATTATTATTTTTTTTTATGGGGAGGAGGTAAAAATGCATTTACGCACACTGAGATGCTCAATGGCACTGAGCATCTCAGTATGTGTAAATCCATTTTTACCTCCTCACCATAAAAAAAAAATAATTTCCAATGACTTAAAAAAGTTAACTTAAAGATAATGTAATGAATCACTCCACTTCAGTTATCGAAACTGAAAACGAACTGACCCTGAAAACGAACGCTCACTCCACTCCAGTTATCGAAACTGAAAAGATCTCATTCTGAAAACGAACGCTCTTGCGTATATCATGTGTTTACTATGAACAGCTGTTTTAGTATGTAATTCATACAAAATTATTTGTCTGTATAAGTAAACAAAATCTTTTCTTCATAAGAAATACATTGGGATTTTGATGACCTGTGGGGCAAAGCCTGAGGACTTTAATTACAGGAATTTGTGAATTTTGCGTCTACACAAAAATGCTTAATTTTGATACATGTTTTGTAAAAATCCATCCATTATCAACGGAGGAGTAGTGTTTCGTATTAATCGCCTTCACGTATCATAATAAGGATTAATTTTTTTATGAATAAAAAAATGTATGGGTAATATTCAGGTAATGTGTCTTAAATTGACCTTTCTGTGGATAATGATTGAACCAAATTTTATTATTTGTGTTTTTGTGAATTAATATTTTTATTTTTCACCAGTTGTAGGATATATTTCAACAAACTGCTGCCTATTGGTTGTATATTATGATCTAAACCAGTGATTTTCTAACACCAACAAACTATAACATCATGCTACAACGACCACGAGACTCTACCAAATGCCTCTGTCAGATCTATAAATAATTCATTTTCAGCCTTATCGATGGCATCAATATTGGACTCAATCTGTTTTGGTAGACATTCCAGGTCTAAACACTCGTCGTTTGTCACTAAATTAATCTTTTCAACACTCAATAATCAGGTATAAAACATTCAGTTATAAAGTTTTCTAATCGTAGGTAAAATCGTCAATGGCCTGTCAATTTAAAGCCTAGTTGTCAATGACATATTACTGTGGAAAACCATAAACTCTTGACTATGATGCTGTCTTTGAACAACTTGAACGAGAGGAAAAGGGTTCCTCGAGATGAATTTGCTTAGTGGGTTGTATGAGGGATAAGATGAACCTGCAACAAACAAATAAACATTGCATGAGAAATAAATAAAATTTCACATAACACAAAAAACAGATTAAGCCAGAGAAAATGAAAACGAGATAATACAACAAACTGCAAACGGGGCTCCTAGAGAGGAATGCCATATGATGACCCTATAGCTTCTTCTAATACAAGGCCGCGGTGTTGGTGTGGCAACATAACAACAGCATATAACACAAACATTGTGTGCTTTTCTGTTATCAAACAGAATTTTGAAATGGTACAGCAAGTTTGGTTAGTTACCATTTCAAAATTCCGTTTGATAACAGTAATTAGGTATGTGGAGAATATCAAACGGAATTTTGAAATGTTACAGCAAGTTTGGTTATTTATGTTAGGTTAGTTTTAAAAGTTTAATTTCTTACTCCATAAACTTAGCCTTTAATATTTTGGCCTTAACAAGTTTAATTGTGATTTTTTAATTTAGGCCTACTTGTGTTTGAAGTTACTAAAACAAAATGAATATGGATCGTAAAATAAAAGAAAAATATGGGTATCGACATATCGGAAAAAAAAATCATCGATAATTGGCTAATGAATGTTCCCTATAACGGGAAAGTACAAACATTTGATCTTATAGGTCTGACTGTGTCACATAAACTTATAACAAATAGCTGACGGTTTGTTCTCATTACAGAAAACCATATCAGAACATCTGGCTCTAGCGCTGGGAGACACTACATTACCTCATATGCGTAGCGCCCAGACACCTGCTCCAATAATGGCAATCTGAAACAAAGCTGAAATGTCAGCTCTCAGTTATAAGTTTATGTGTGTGATGCAATGTGCTGTGGTACAGTTTCTTAACTGGGTTACGCTAATATTGATTGAGACTATCGATTCGATTAGTAAACCTTCATGAGATTTTTTCACCATCAGCAAGTTTGGTTGGCTAGGTTAGGTTATGATAGTTTAATTTTACAATAGATAGCCTATATATTAAAATATCGATTATTAATCAATATTTTCAATTCAATAGTTTCAATCAATATTAGTGTAGCCCAGTTAAGATACTGTACCCGTCGAACCTTGACGTCAAAGTTTGTAGTGTTAACACTGTTCTCGTTTGACATAAATACGATATACGTTTGGTTAGCTAGGTTAGGTTAACCTTAACCTAAGGATTGGTGTTCAAGTGTGACTGTAGATTTGCTAGGACAAGACAGCTAAAAATGTGTTGGGGCTTGTCTTCCCAGAGACACATGGCGAGGAAGTTTGACAAAATGCTAAACCTAATAAGTCTTAACACAGTATTTAAGGATTTTGATGGATAGGCTAGTAGATTTATCAATCTGAACTGATTAATCCTGCAACTTAAAATGGAAATCAGATAAACCTTTATAACGTTTTCATGTACTGGGTTCACCATCGTCTATCGTCTTCCTTCTGGAATATCCTTTTTTTATAAATTTATTGCTATCTTGTAGTTTCAAAGCCTTTAATTATTTACGCACGGTACTAATACTAAACGAAATCAATTTAAATTAGATAAATCTTCGATTTCTCTTCGAAATTTCCAGGTTCGTAGGTCACATTTACATTTACAACACAACAATAATAACAAAACCAAAATAAAACAAACATCAACATCAGCTAGCACTCCAGCTGATCAGTCAGCTGTTCTTAACTTCAGCAATATTGCTGTGCCTCATCAATAGTTTTCCAAATATTGAAGAAAGGATTTGTGTATACAAAATAAAAATGAAAATAAAAATGGTACCAATTGCCACTCTCACTAGTCACTCTACGTTGTCTAAGTCAAGTCTAGTTTACGATATTTTTTGATTTGGTATTCAATCAGCCTCTCAATAAAACAATATTACGAATAATTTATAAATAAAAATACTTTTTAAAAATGTCACGTTTTTAAATGTACTAAAAAGTAGAAAATAATTTATTTTCCAGTAAGCTTGGTTACTGGACTATGACAATATTGACTCCACTTAAAATGTACAGATATATATTTTTAATTCATATTGTTTTGGTTTTTAATTATGTATGTTTTATTTTCAATATTTAAATTATGTTCATACATTTAAATTTAAATCAATAAAGTGCGAATTAATGAGCTGATGTCACCTGTCTGCCATGTAATCTTATGGGACATCTGTCACTAAACAACACCACTTGCGACGTTGCCAATTCTACCAGGCCGCGGCCTGTAGTTAAAGGTGGCCGTGCCTGAACCAAAACCAACCGCATGTTCACAAACCGCAAGTTATGCTGCATACAAAAAAATCTTACTTCTTTCTTCCTTTTTCTTCTCTTCTCCTTCTCTTCAATCAGTCCAGTCAGTCCCACTCCCAGTCTCCATTTTCATTTCAATTTCAATATTTCAATGATGATGATGAGATGATGGCTGCCGGCTGTTGTTGTCGTTGGCTGATAGCCTCATAGCCAGCTGACGAGGTTTTCTTCTTGTAGTACAGGATCTTGGCGTTGGCGCATTAATTACTTACCTTAATTAATTATTTGTTTCTTGTGATTCTTTGGTATTAGTGTAGTGTCTTCAATTTTGATTTTTAAATAGCTTCGATAGCTTTTTGCTGTTTCATAGCAACCATTCTTGCTGGGTTCAGTTGGAATGATAAGCCGCGTTTACACCGAAGTTGACAACCAAAAGTTGTCAACCAAAAGTTTACAACCAAAAGTTGACAACTAAAAGTTTACAACTAAATGTTGCTCCTCACTAATTTAGAGCAACTAGTGGAAAACTTGTTGCCAAAGAATAGGCGCGTAATAATAAGTACAGTGTGTCAAGGATGTCGGCCATTTCAAGATCAATTTTTCCGTATTTTGGAAAAATCACCATTAAAAATCAAAATTTCAAAAAAATTCAAAAATACCTGGAGATGTTATGGAAAAGTACCTACATACAAATTTTAATCCAAATCAGACCACGGGCGTGGTGTGTAGCTCTGTACACATCCAGAGTTATTAGGCATAATTAAGATATTTAAATCGAAAGATAGCTAATATTTACCCTATTATAATAATTAAAATAATTCAATAATACACATTTACAATATGTGTACAATATGGGAGAGGAATAGTTCTCCACTAGTTTTCAACAAGTTGCTTGCGCAAAGCGCGTAGCAACTAGTCTTCAACTTTTTGTTGTCAACTTTCTTTGATCTTACCGACTCTCCGCGGGAAACTAAAATTTAGTGGAAAACTTGTTGCTCCACTAGTTGACGACAGAAAAAGTTGCTGCATTTTGTAGAAAAAGCAACAAGTTTCCGAAACTAGTCGAAAACCTGGTTGTCAACTTTGGTGTAAACGCGGCTATAGGTGCCGTCATTTGCAAATAGGATAAGTTATGCATTTTTCATCTCTTGTAGGCTAAGGGACTGAGATCATTCTATTAACAAGTTAGGCCTACGTCAATCTAAGTTAAGTAGGCTACGTCGGTTGTCAAGTAGGGTTGAACGGATTTCCATATTTTGCCAAAAAAGAACTGTTTATCATTTTCAATATGTTATAATGGTAACTTACCGGTAACTATTTTTAATTGAGTATGCTTTCTAAGGATACACCAAAACTTACCAGTTTTGAGTGAATTCCTATTTAACCAATGTACCTATTACATTTTTGACTAAAATTAATTGTTACCTAAAATTAGTAAAATACCTACATAAGTTAGCTTAATAGGTCTCAAAACTGTTTGGGCTGTTTGGGTTTTAGTTGGTTTTTTCACAGTGTTTCTTGGCAACAATTTTTTGCTATCGCTTCATCAACAGAATGCCAGGCCCGCTCCATGAATCATGACATTACCTTACAAACAACACAAGTTTGATGAATCCTAGTAGGCCTATTCCACAGCCTATTAATTGGCAAATAAGAAACGGGGCAAAAGTTTTGATCTTAAGTTGGAAATAATGTATAATCATACCTCTAATGCATTAAAGCTGTCATCAGCTGTGTCTCGGCCGGATTCTGCTACGACATCCTCGTTGTCTGCTGCTTTGTTGTTGGTTTCTTCACCCTGCAAAACGTACCTAATACTGTAACCTTAGTAGGCTCTCAAGCATCAAGAATGCTTTTTCAAATCCTTGGAAATTGCTTTTTGCAGGTTTTCAGCATCTACTGTCACAACTTTATTTGTCACGTTAAACCTGCCAAGAACACTTAATAATGCCTCTGAGATGTCCCCAGTGTGAGACAATTTCATCTCTTCCGTTGCCAATACAACTGAATATGGTTTGAAATCGTTAATGAAATGGCCTGTTCAACCAACCTCTCTTTGCCACCAACAGCTACCAAACTTTAGTGATAGACCAACTGAGTAGCCTATGTTATTTTTTTCTTCCTTTTTTTTCACAAAGTAAAAAGCAATAGATACAAAAACAAAGATTGGTGAGGACAACAACGTTAACATAGCGAGAAATAACATTTATTTGAATTCTTATAACAAAAACTGTTAGTCTTTACCGACAAAGGTGGAGTAGGAATCAGGTTACTGATGAGCTTCTTTCAGTTGATAAAAAAAAATGTTGAGAAGGGGATGGAACTTTTTGTACGAGGGGCAATTGAAGCGATGGTTTCACCCACAAGTGAAAGGGTGTCTTCTCTAATGCTTTTCTCTTCACTTTGCATATTTTGATTGCTGCTAAACTCCTCTCCCACCCCTGATACAGCTCGCCAAACCCCTGATTTCTTCTTCTATCTTCGTTCGTGCTCTTTTTTCACCAATTCAATGGCTTCTTCTAAATGCTCAGCGATTAGGCCTGATCAGATGTTAAACTGCATCTCAGCAGATGACCCTTCCAGGTCCAGATCCCCCAATCGTTCCCTGAGGTCCTTCATCCGCTCCACATCTGATGCTCCATTAAAACCGCTACTCGTCCAATGGGCCACAGCTTTGCGAGTCTCGTCGGTGTACTTGGTGTTCTCACAAGCGGCTTGAAGAGCCATTGCCTGTCACTCGAACCAAGAACGGGGCTGCACCAGTCCAGCACTGAGAGTGGAATCCACATCTTTTTGGATCGCTTTCCAAATTTCCTTCTTACCAAAGTACTTTGGGATATATTTTGATGGGTCCAAGTGATCTTAATGGCAAAACACAGCCATATGACCAGGTTTCATCTACTGTCCAATGTTGCAACCATTGAACAGTCTCTAGATGATCAACTTAGAAGTTTTTGTGAATTAGAAGAAATTCCAGTCCATGCATCAGTTAACCCTGAAGAGGAAAAATGTGGGATGATCTATTGTAATGCTGTAAAACAGGACCAGGAAAAAGATACATAGTTCCGCTCCCTTTTAAAAACGAAGATCCCAAGATTGGAGAGTTGTTTGGGAACATGAAGTCATCGATCAAAGCTATGAAAAGAATAATCAAATATATAAAGTCTATCAAAAACATGGTGTAGCACAAACTATTATGTATCAGAATATGTCCAGTCACTATTGCCAGATCTATTTTGCTAAACCACGCATAGACACTAGCCCACCTTTTTCTCACAGACCTAAGCTACATAATACATCTAAACATCATACTTGGAATAAAAAAGAAAGTGAATTTGTTCTACAGAAGCAGAGCAAGTCATCAGTTTCCTCGAGCTCAAGTAAATGCAGTTACTACTTAATCACATAGTTTTGTGATTTTTTTCTATTAGTGTTCTGTTTATTTAACTTATCGCAAAAATTGGTGTTACCATTTACCATAGACTTCTTAATTGTTCTTTATTGAAAAGAAAATGTTTCTTTTAGCGGGAGGTATGGGAAGGCCCAATCGATATATATAATCAACCCTAATGCACTTTCATAATATACTGTACAAAGAAGAAATAGAAACATAGAAATAGAAATAGAAACATATGTTATAATAAAACCAAAACAATTAGTACAAGAATTATAATGAAGAATAAAGAGCATAAATGAAGTGAGTGAATTGTTAACTTATTTTCAATTATTATTTCTAAAAACAACACTTCATTTTATCAACTTATCGAAAACAGCGGCTCTTATATGGTAACCTCGTCTGGGACTTAAAGGAGTTCCCCGTCTTCGTCTAGATCCTCAATCTGATGAATGGACAAACAAGGTGACTTCGGTGGAGGATATGTCTTCTATAACGTTCAAGTTTTCTGCGGGTCTTACGGCCCTACACAGACTAGGAGTCAATTCAATTCAATTCAAAACTACTTTATTCATCTCTTGTACATAGAAATACATTGAATAGTGTCAAAAGTTGCAATTAATAATTATTAAATACATTTCTGTCATAACAAATAAAAACAAAATTTCACAAACTTACATTTTTATTAATAAGACAAAGGCAAAGCTTAACAAAATGAATGCAATCCCCCCCACCTTAATCTTCCTCTATGGCTTTGTTGAGGGCTTCTAGCACTGGATCCCAGGCCATCACGACAACTTCTTCCCCTCTTGGACTGGAAACCATCATTCCTGAGCTCCGTTTTTGCAAGCGACTGGTTTCCAGCTGACTCTCGGTCAGTGGAAAGGGATGTTCTTTCTTAATAATAATTGTTCTTCTCAGAGTGGTCATCACAGCTTCACCGTATTCCCTTGGGTTAAATTCGACTTCGTCAGTCGACTGTCTCTTCAGTAGCTGTTCTGTGAAGAAGCAGATGAAGACCCCACCATCTTTCCCGTCGGGGTTTTGCTGGAGGCAGGCTGAGTTCGGGACAAGTGTCCAGCTGGAGAATAGGACATTCCCGGGATGTAGCATAGTCGGTTAGGTAGGATTGAATTTCCTTTGCCAGTTTGGGGCGTGATCGTCGGAGTGAATCGTAGATATGAATTTCCATAATCTTTGGAAACGCTGATGCCAACACCCAGCGGAATTCTGCCTCCAAAAGAACGGGAAACAATATGACGTCTCGGTCTAGGATATTTTGTTCTCCAGTCCACCGTTCGACTCTAGCGAATCCACCATGTCGCCACGCCACCAAGAAGAAAGAAGCAAATGACCAGATTGTGGGTGGAGTGGGAGCCAGAAGGCTTCTCCTTTCAAGTAGGCGAAGGTAGGCGTTGACCATGTCATTAAATATGGTGATCCTTGCTTCAAAATTGATGTGAAATGGCTCTCGGCAACTACAATATGTCCCCTTAAGTTTGACCTCATGCTGGACGTCTAGAAAACAAGCAGGAGAAAAATTGTTAAAGTCCTATCTCACAAACCAATTGCAAAGAAATATTATTTATAAAGACGATATCTATAATTTTTCAAAATGAAAAATAAGATACTGTGGTGTGCCACAGGGCTCTATATTGGGGCCTTTATTGTTTTTAATTTATATAAATGACCTGCCTTTTGTTCAAAGCTTATTCTCTACGCTGATGACATAACTGCAATATTAAAATCAAACAACGCTAACAATTTACAAAATTTGATAAACGATGCTTTTGAGGATATAAACAAATGGCTTGAGTCTTAACTGTTCTAAGATTAAAATTATTAGGTTCAAAGCCACTCGTGAAAGAGAAAATGTTGAAATAAATATTAATTTAAAGGGAGAAATTATGAATGAAACATGGTTGACAAAATTTTTAGGCATTCATGTACAAAACACATTAAATTGGGACCAATATATATCCTATTCTATTAGTTCAAAGGTTCCTCAGGTTTATAAAAATACACCAAAATATACTTATAAAAATGTTAATGAAAATGAAAATAAGTTGAAAAAACATACTCTTTTTTAAACAGTCCATCCCGCCCCCTCTTGGCAGGCCCGTCTTCTTGAGCTAAGGCTGACTCGATCTGAAAGATTCCTATTCTATTACTTCAAAGGTCCCTCAGGTTTATAAAGATACACCAAAATATTTATATTTAAGAAATGTTAATGGAAATAAGCTTAAAAAATCACTTTAGTTTAAAGGGTCTCCCCCTACCCATATTGGCAGTCTGTATCGCCTGTTCATGCATTTTTATGGCAATGCTTCACCATCAAGAACATAAGGGAAGTTGAAGTAATCTCCTGAGAAGAAGACCGTTGCACTTCATTGGCATTCATGCTGTACAATCAAACAATTCAATGTTTGTGGCCAAAAAATTCTAAACAGTTCTAGCAAGGAGTAAATACTCTATGGTTCTAGGCTTGTCAAGTAAATTACAATAATATAGTCACTTTTTCAGCACTGGAAAAGCTTCCAAATTTTCGGCTGACATTTTGTTATTTCCGTAACTTTTTTTTAATATTGTATCTTATTATTTTCCTGTGTGAGTCTTCCTAAACTTGATACCACCAATGTTTTTTTTTTTAATTATAGACATTTTTGAAAATTTTAAGATGGCTGCCAAAATAACACATTTGCCTCGATGTATATTTTTAACATGTCGATTGGGAGCATGTTATTTACCATATTATGCAACACAGATAATGTTTGTTCCAACTGTTTCGATCTCTAAAACTTTATCTACTATACTCATTTCTAACATTGGGTTTATAGAATTTCAAATCAAAACAAAAGAAATCATAACAGTTATAAACTGTGAACTATTTGGAAATAACACATACCTGATACTCCACAGAACGTTTAACAACAACTTAATGATGGTAACTTGATAAAATAAAGGCAAAACTTTAAAATAATACACAAATAATTCACAACACGGCTGTTCTCGGCTAATTTACAAACTCTACATTCACTGTGTTTATGGATTACCCACAATTCAGTCTAGAAAACCACTGTTAATTATTATTTAACTGTGTATTTCTACAGGTATTCTTTGTACGAACACTACAATATACTTCTTGTACTTCTTTGTACAATATTATAATAAAATATAAAATGGCGAAATACACTCTTTTGACACTAAATGCACCACTGTACACATTGAATAACGATTGTTTGCAATCAAACCAACTTAACTTTTTCCATCCAACCAAGAAAAACGCATAACATACATTTTAGATCTTAGAGTGGCTTTTTGAAAGAAATTGAATATGAAGAAAGGCAAATTTAATATCTCAGAAATGTACATCAAAACCAAAATAAACTCAACGTACAATATGTAAACAATTTCGCAACCACATCAACACAGCATCTAAATATAGATTTGACCGATGATTCAGTGATAACTCAATTTGTTGCTCTTCGTTAACAGATCAGGTCAATAATATTGACCGTGGTTAGTGCAAGTGGTGGAGTTACTTGACGTAATAGTTGTGGCTGTGAAGGGGGAGGGGGAGCTCAACAATTAAAGCTGCATTCCATCTTCAGTCTGGCTGAGCCTTCTTTGATACTCACACAGAAATGTGGGGCTGTTTTGTGTTATGTTTTGTGCTCCTTGTTTTTCCAATTACAGTTTCCAGTGTTCAGATCATCAACTACTTCCAAAACGATGACGAAGCTTCCACTGTATGTAATAGCATAGAAAATATTTAATATTTTTAAATTGTACTATTGATGGTGTAATAGAATGATTAAGTCCACAAATTACATGGACATTATATAAACTCTTAATTAAAAATGATTAAATAATTATCCGTGATTATTATGAGTCATTGACTTCATTGATGCTGAATTAAATTTCATAAGAGCAGCACAGCTGTAGTAACAGGTGTCATTGTAAGTTTTGAATAAAATTATCATAAAATTTCCATGGAAAAATTTATTGTTTTAATATTTCAAGTACTTTTTTATACTCTAATAGTTCTGGTTAATACGAATTCCGTTTAAATTAATTCTAAACGTAGTTATTCAATGCTTTGTATCACTATTCCATTATTGTTGATGAATTCAGCGTACTAGGTTCACTGTCAACTTCCAACTGATTTCCACCACAAAAGTCTTGGGTCCGTGTTCTTTAGTCAAAAACTGAGGCAGTAATAAACAACCTATATATTAATTTGAAACTGTTTTTCTTTGTCACAGCTATTTTGAGAGAACGGCTGGGTGTAGAAACTCGGTAGAGGTGTCTAAAGAAAGGTCTTGGTCTGTAGATGAGCCATCAAAAGAGAAATATGGTGAATTCCCTTGGGGCTCTGCCCCCGTGGCCTTTAAATTCCCATCCCATGTTATTCTTATGGAGGAAAACGGGGTTTTTGTCACAGCTAATTTGAGAGAACGGCTGGGCGTAGAAACTTGGTAGGGGTCTCTAAACAAAGGTCTTGGTCTGTAGATGAGCCATCAAAAGAGGAAAGAGGTAAATTCCCTTGGGGCTCTGCCCCAGAAGCCTTTAAAGTTGCCTCTTCAGATTTGTTTACATTGCGACCATATGCATAATTGTACACTACTTTTTAATGCAACAGCTGTTAATATTTAAATTGTGATTTATTGAATTTGTCAAAATGATGTACAGCATTTGCAATGGATTTTTCTGATTTCAAAATTGATTTTCTTCTGTATCGTGTCATGTTTTGCAATATAATGTTCTATTACCAAATCAGTGGAAAATCCTAATATCAAGATCAGATTTTTGAAAAAGATAAGATATTTACAAAAGATTTTGATTATATCTAACTGTTGTGTAGATCGTGAGTATTTCCATAATCTTTGAGTCGCCTGCAATGCTTCGCAATTGCTACGAATTCGAGCAACAGGTACGCTAGTAGACAATAATCTAAAAACTATACAGCGTTTTAATTATATGGATGTGCACCATATGGATGTGTAAACACCAATTTCCCCCTTAATATATACAGAGAGGTTTAAGCTGAACTTGGTCTATGAATGGGTTACTCCAGAATGTATACAGTATTGTATGTATAAAGTTAAAGTAATCATCGTGTTTGGTAAAATTGTTTTCAGAGTATAAACATTTTGACAGGTTTTCTAAAATCCAACACACAGTCTATTTCAGGGTGACTTTTGTAAGAGTTTAGGGTTCCAACTTGAACGACATACATAGATTAATGTTCTTCTTTTTGGTTGTATTAATAGTCAAAGCTTATACATAATTACTACAGTCCAACCTCAGTATAACGAATCTGAAGGGACCGAACTGAATATTCGTTATATCAAGGGTTTCGTTAAAACGAGGTTCGTTATATAGAGGTTATGTTTGCAGGAATTTCGCTAAGTCGAGGTTCAGAACCAGCGTCGGTCAATATAGGTCGGGATTAGACATCATTAAAACACAATTAAAGTAGCATAGGCTACAATACTTTACAGTACAGTGTTTACATTGTACAGTAGAACCTAAATTATCCGGCATAATAAAGGGGAGGGATCTTGAATATTGCGCAATCATGACAATGGCATTGACCTTGGTACAGGTTAAAAAACTGTAAGTTTAAAATCACAGCTTGTTCTAACCCTCCTAAAACCTAGCCAAACACTGTATTGCGTAGTCATAAACCATGTAAAGAACAAAACAAAACAGTAGTAGAAAGTTTTGTAAGCTACGTACTGCTCGTGATAGGCCGGTAGGCTACTTACAGTACAGTACTGATTTATCACAAAAGAGGAATGTCAATAATAATCATTAACTATAGCATTGGTGTTGCTAGTTGAAACAAATCGTATTGAAAACAATACAGTTAATTATTAGATAAGACATTATAAAAGTGTATAATCATAGCCAACTTAAAGATAATAAAAACACTCGAAAAAGGAATGTCAAAATAACGATGTTGCTATTCTTTCTCTTTGGTTTTGTTTTTATATTCTTTCTTAGGTTTCTCTTCATCCAAAAATTGTACAATTCACCATAGTTACTTATCGCCCAATCACAGCTTACTAAACATTACGTCGTCATCAGTCCTCAGTGAATGAAATCAGTTCTCAGTTGCAACATAGCGCGCGCAGCGAAAGCAGACAGAGATGTGTAAAACCACGTAAAACGGAGCAGACGATTGTTAGCGCAAGCGATGACGTCACCTTTCCATTTCATTTGATAAAGAAACAGATTTTTCAAAAACAATAATGGGGTGGGGGATTTGTTATATCGAGGGAAAGACGTAGACAATTCGTTATGCAGAGGTTAAATTCGCAATGTAGAGGTTCTGACAATGATAAATTCGCTATACTGAGGTGTCTTATTTTAGCCGAAATCACGAAAAATTCGTTAAATCAAGGTCGTTGTTATGGTTTGTTTGTTATGTAGAGGTAAAATATACATTGTGTCTTATGGAGAGTTCTAGGGGATTAAAAAAAAATTCGTTATATCAAGGAATTCGTTGTATCGAGGTTCGTTATATCAAGGTTAGACTGTATTAAATAAATCATATTATTGATCACGCCTGAACGAGAATAATACGAGAGAATTGTGTGAATCATATTGTATTTTATAAGTAAATAAAATGTATTTAAATGAAATTGAATAATACCATTGAAATTGAATAATAATTCAGTAACTTTTAAAATTTTAATTTATCGTGTTAAATATATACTGTATCGCCTTTACTTTCGTTTTGGGGTGGTCTGCAAATAATTAGGTAATAATGAACATTATGAATGTGTGTACCTATGTAATGTATACATCATTTTCTAATTAAACTTAAGCCATTTAATCACTGATCATAGTTTTAAAACTTCTTGAATTCACGTTTCAACAGATTAAAATGCAATGCCAAAAACATTGTAGTTTGCTTTCACCAGCAAAATATTTGTGTCAGATCAAGCGTACCAGTTAAGTAAACATCGTAAAATCTTAAGAGGCTAATTTGGAAGTTGAAATGGAGATAACTTTATCAGAAACTAGCAATAGACCTTAAAGACTGATAGTTCATTGATTTTAGTGCTTTGATGTTTGTTACCATTATGGCAATCCATCCAGGATGTCCTGCAGTTTACAAGATGTACCAAACCCAGATGTTCTCTAGTTTGAATCTTGAACTTGTTAAATTAATATTACAAAACTGACCATTGTACCGAATTGATCGAATCTAATCTAAAATGTGGTTCGGATTCTACTATAAACTGTAGGTCCCTTAGGTTGCCATTAGCTGTATGCGCTATTAATTAATAGCTGTGTCTAAGGAATGTCGACCTTATAGTCACTAACAAGACTACAAGATCACGCCACTCATCCTACACTCATCTCCATTCATACTTGGCTTAAAATACCTACTTCGTATGGTCACCATTTAGTAAGAAAGTATTAAAAGTATTAATCAAAATTAGTCTCATTCCAAAATTATTTGCAACGTATATACATTGATCATATAGGAAAAAATAGTTTCACACAGGACATGCACAACCTATGTGCGGGACGAGTTCTATTACAATCATTGGAATAATATAAAAATAACGCTTAATTAATCGAGATATATAAAATCTGGCGCGGTGCTCTTTGACCCGAGTTTTTTCGGGGACGTGTTAGATGGCATTGCGGCTCAATGAGCCGAGATTAGTCAATGACGTGTGAGATGGCATGCGGCTCTTTGAGCCGACTTTGCTATCGTTACAATCAAACAGGGGGTTCGTTCTGTTGAAATGGGACAAACTAAATAAACCAAGTACTAATGGAAAGAAGAGATGCTTGTGGTTTATTATTCACGTATATAACATCGTCCAGCAACTTCATTTACTGCCTTGGGTTTTCCAACAGTCTTGGGTTTCAGGACGTTGCGAACGGCTGGTTTATTGAAATCTACTCCCATCCACTTGATTTTTCTTTTTAAAATGTCCTGCAACTCCCTCGACGATTTGTGTTCGAGGTTCTTTAGAGTTTTCTCTTTCACTAATAAGTCTGCATAAAGGCATGCGAACACACCGCAGTCCTGGGCATTATTAGTTTGTTGTGGGCACGTCTTCAGTGTATTAAGTGTTCCCCATTCACTTGCGTTAAACCTTCTCTTCTGTCTTAAACATTCCATCTTAAAGAACTCTTTTATTTGGGTCAATCGGGTGTTGTGTTTGCCGCCAATCGAGTCCAACGCTACAATGTCCTTCTTCTTTGGTCGGACCACATTCAACTCACGGCCTGCTTCTCTATTGTTTAGGTGTTTAACTTAAGTCTTAGCAGGGTGCGGCTTGAGGTGATTTGTGTCATTACTGGGAAAGTTCTTTAGAGTCATAGTCAGTCACCCACCTCTTCAAAACTCCTACCTTGTGCCGCTACCGCCATATCATCGGCATATTATCGGTATATACGACTGACGTGTAGCGTTTGGCAATGGTTGGTTGTTAGTATATATGTTATAAAGAGGGGCTAAGATGGAACCCTTTCATGATTTTATTTAATATAAATCTTTGATAAATGTATGAGCTAAAAAAGTCATAATTCCTATTTCTTTTAAGTGTTCTTTAGCGGATTCTTTTGATTTTAGTTTTAACATGATTCCAATTGCTTTTATCTGAAGTTCCAGAGTGCTATTTAGATCCAAATTTGATGTGCCCCCATAAAGACACAACCCAAAAGTAATGTGTGATTCGACTGAGGAATAATAGACAATTTTAAGGTTTTTAAACTACAAAATTTTGACATCTGTTTTTAAGGCTATAGTGGAAATTTAAGGCATTTAATCAATAAAATCCTAACTCTAAACTTCTAATGAAATTGTATGCTAATTCCTGAGATAATTGACTGCCGTTAAAAACACAATTAATGACAGGAAATGTATCAACAAAAGTAAAATTATGCTTGTGCTTATGACCTAAGTTGAGTAGTGTTTGTTGGAGTCCTGACTTCTTATGTTGTCAAATCTTTTGGTAAATAAATTAGAAGATATAAATAAAATAAAATAAATATAAATAAAAAAGAAGAATAAGTTACTTTGTTGTTGAGTTTCTACCAGTTTTATTATTCTGTTGAACTAAAAAAATATATGGTTTATGGTGTCTGCATGATTCTCCTTCATTGATGAAACATGTTTATATAAGAAGAAGAATGACATATGGTGTCTGCACGTTCCTTCTTCATAGATGTCACATTTTCATATAAGAAGAAGAATGAGTATGGTGTCTGCACGTTCCTCTTTAATTGATCAAACATTTTCATATACAGTAAGAGGAAGATTGACATGGGATCTGCATGTTCCTCTAACTTATCTTCTTCTGCCAGAAGCCTACTAACCATTGACGTATTCGACAAGCCACACTAGACGATCCCGTAAAGCTTGATCAAAGAATGAGCCGATCTTACAATGATTGGCTAAAGTTTTGATCTCAGTAATGTAATCAGTTATGGACTCACCAACATGCTGCTTTAGATTATGAAAAGCATACCTCTCCACTATCGTCTTCTTAACCTTAGCATACTTAGACTTCAGAGACTCTGCACACTGTTTATAAGTGGCTTTCGAAAATTCAACTGGAGCAAGGAGACACTTTAAGTCTGAATAAATAGTTGGACTTAGGTACACACATAAATGACTTTTCTTCAAACTATCATCGTCTATCTTCTCAATACTGAAGAAGAATTCTAACCTCTCGATGTACTGACTAAAATCTTCAAGTCCTGGATCAAACGCTGGTGCTTTAGACATTCTTCACTAGATAAAAAAATAGACATTTAAGTTATTATTTGTTATTTTGCTCGTCGCCAATGATATATTGGACAGCGAGATGCATTAGGATTTATAAGAAAGACAAGACACATGATAAAATGACGAACAACATCTTTATTATTGACCAATCTAATTCAACTTCCGTTTCTGACATCGCATACAAAGACTAGTACATTTACAGTTCCATTGAGGCCTAGGCCATAGATTAACCATACTTACATAATATATATATATATATGTATCTGTCACTTTGGTTACGTTTCGAGATTATTTTATGGCGTTGAGGTAATGGTCACGACGGTTACGTTAGTGTCGCGACTAGGTCTCCACAACATCTGACGTCTGGCTGTTTAACTTTAGAAGGCAGCCCTGCGGTAGTAATTTACTGTCATAATAAAAAATAGGTTCGTTTCTTCCCTCTACCAACACCAGGTAAACTGAGGTCTTCTTTAGTAAATTAGGTTGGTTACAATACCACCCAAATAGGCCCGTTACAATACTTGGTGTAAAATGCTAACACAGTAAAACTTGGTTGCTGTAGTAACTTCACTAATAGTTTAGCTCTTAATCCGACCCATCCTCACGCCTACGAGTTGCTGATGGCCTGATGATAAAGCTCAAGTCTACAAGGTCGCGTGTTCAATCCTACCAATCAATGACTTTTAACTCGTTGATACTGCTGCAAACCTCTGGTCTAGCCCAAATTAATGTGTAAACGGTTCCTAGCTAAAGCATAGCGTCATATGCACAAAGGTCTGGATTGCCTTGGCTATTAAGTGACACAAATGTTTTGTTGCAGCCCGAGATGGCTCACAACCACGGCTACCTATGTGAAACTCACGAGGTTATTACTCAGGACGGTTTCGTACTGAGTGTCCACAGACTACCAGGTGGTCGGGTCAGCAAAAAGAACGCTTCATTGACACCCGTCCTGCTTCAGCACGGCTTGCTAGACAGCTCCGCTGACTGGCTCATCGCTGGTCCCGGAAAAGCTCTAGGTTGGAGTCATATGTTATAGTAAACCATACTTGAATTCAGTGCTTGAAATGTTTGATGAATCGAAATTCTTATTAACAGAAGAGCTAGTTGAGTTTTTTATTTCAATATAATGACAAATAACATTTTCAGTCTTACTCTATATTCTCAGTCTTATATATTTTTCTATGTCTTAGTATATTTTTTAAGGGGATTTTTTGTCTTTTGTAAATGAATCAGAAGGGAATTGTAATTCACATACTCTTAGAGAGTACAAAATCTTTCACCAAAATTAAAGGTTGTCGTTTGAGCAGTTTACAAACCATTGCACGTACATATTTGTTCTGCTTGTAGAACGTCGCAAAAACCTTTCGGTCCCAGCTAATAAAAAGTTAATGTAATTTTTTTTACTATGTACATATCTATATAATGATAGGCAAGCATGTTGCTTTGAAACCTTTTTTCTCAGCTCGTGTGCATCGCAGGGAAAATCTACGCATACTGTTTGAAAGATAGTTGCCTGTAGATGTGTAGAATCCCTGTATAAAATAAAATTGGCTCAAAAAATAAGCACAAAATTGAATTTAAAATTTAACAAAAATTAACATGAGCCTTATGGGTTGCCATGCTGATGACGAAATAGCAACGAAATAGTAACAGAAAATCAAAACAAATGGAAGAAATTCCAATCACATGTTTTATTTACAGCGTGGGGTGAAAATAGAGAAGTTTGCACAATACATATTTTTGGTTGAGTTTTCGACCACGAGGTGACCACTAGTATATATGTAATGTACACGGTTGTGTACAAAATGACTTGATGAACCTATTTTGACCCAACGGACATAAGGAAAACTAACTAAAAAGATGTAAACATTCCTTTTATTATTGAAAGAAAAACAAACTTGTATCAAAAGACAAACTAACTTGACTTGGACCAGCGACGTTCACCTTGTCGACAAGTTCCTCTTGAAGATCCTGTTCTTTTTCAGGTTCTGGTCCTGGATCAGGTTAAATATCTCAGCAAGAGAATAGTTTTGATTTTAATATTTTTATTGTAAAGGGGCAAGTCATGCATGTCTTTTTGAGTGTACTCTCTGATTTTCTGGTATAAACACTTTTTCTTTAAATAGTCAGCCCCACCGGTTTAATTTCTTGGGGTAAATCAGTGGGAGGTTCTACGTCAAAAGTGATTAGGTGTTTTTCATCAGGGTCGCCTAATCCAACTTTTACATTAGCTACACCTTTTTCATTGCAGTTGAAATGAAAATGACTGAACTTTGTGATCCCTTTAATTGTCTTCCATTTTTATTTCTAAAATATCCTAGCCAGTCAAAAATGTGAAAAAAAACCTTCACCTTGGTTCCAGTAACGGTTACAGATTTCGACAAAATATGAAATGGAATCATGAATCATTAATATGAATGATACTTAAAGATAGGTATGAATAACATTAAATGATTGATTTTCTAGATGATAGAACATTGGGTGATAATACAACAAAATTATAATCTAAGTTAACAAATGTGTAGGACAATAACATTAAAATGGGAAAATAGAATAGAGTGTTCATGGCCTGGCATGGGAAGAAAAGGATATTATGGCTGTTGTTCCATACTGTTCAATACCAAATAACTTTATTGTTTCTTTGTTATTAAGGAGATCACAGTTTATTAGTAAGTGAGTATTGTCTATAAACTTTATCACCTGGGTATCAGTTTATGGAAAACACAATTTAAGGGGTCACGCACTCGCGATTAAGGTCCATGGCACAATTTGGTTAGAGATGATGATGCACAAAAGTCTGTTGATGGATGAAACACATTATGAAATTTATTGATATAGAATGTCTTCGAAGGTAGGGTCATCATTATCTATCTCGTCGATCACAGCTTCTATTGCTCGGGTTGGTTCCAAATATTTCTTAAGGGCTGATATATGGTAGGGGCCGTATAAAACATCTTCATCTTCTTTAGTTGATATTTATTTAATAAACTGCTTAATGTTTCACGTTCTTCTGCGGTTATGTGCGTATTTGTTGCTAGGGAATTATCTATTTCTTCTTGGGTTAATGTTTCATCTTCGATTGGATCTGTTTTTCTATTTTTGAAGTTATTTATTGTGCTATTACATTTATTATATATTGGATCATCGTGATATACATCAAACGTTTCATCATTAAAATATTCATTATTTGGCCTTTGGCTATCATTAATTATTAAGTGACATATTTGTCCCTCTTGGTTGCACATACAAAACTTCAAAGTAACATTGTGATTATTTATCTGCATATCTATTTCATTTGTGTTGAAATTCAGATCCATTTTAAGATTAGACAAAACATCTACTCCTAGTATTATAGGTTTTATTAGATTTGGTACAATAAGATATTCCAATGGCAAGGTGTGTTCTGCAATTGTGGTGGGAACGTAAATAATTCGAGAGACTCTTTTGGATCGCTCATTTGTAGCAGTTTTGATTACTGTGTTATTAACTGGAAATTCTTCAAATGGTGAAATTTTGGATTTGTTTTCACTGAACCAGGATTCTGATATACAAGTTATTGATGAACCAGTGTCGACTAATGCGTTTACTCTAATATTATTAAGTTTGATGCTAATTTCTGGGCAACTTATTTGAGTGAAATTTAGAGATTGATTATTTTCTGAATCATTTTCTAATAAGAAGTTCTTATCACACATTATACTTTGGGATTGAAGATGATTTATTTCATTACCGAGACTTTCATAAATAGGCGCTGTAATTTTAGAGTTAACTAATGATAATTGACCCTCTCGGTTCTCGCTTACAGCGCCGAACCGTTTTCCTGTATATTTGGTGCAGGATGAGTCTGTGGCTCGTAACTGTGTGATGATTGGTTATTTGGAGGAGCACTTGGCACGTAGTTATTTTGTCTCATTACTGCGCAAAGCTGAGCTTGTTCTTGGGTTGGGTGGTTTCTGTAGGTCCGTTGGTTGTTGTCACCGTTACGAGGAGGATATTTGTCTCGTTGATATGGTTTGTTTTCATGGTTTCGGTCGTAAGTAGGATGATTGTGGTTAGGACGGTAATTTTGATGGTTTGGATAACTTCTGTGTTGGTGATTGTTGTTGTATGAATTGTTGTGATATGAAGGTATCTTGGGTTGGTACGCTCTCTGATTTTCGTAGCGGCCATTTTGATGATAAGTGTGTGGTTGTTGATTTGGAGTTGTCGGTCGGTTGTTGAATGAGCTGTTGTGATTCTGGTTGTTGGTACGTGTCTTCTTCGGTCCTTCTTTGAGATCTTCACGTTGTAGAAGTCTTTCTAAGGCACGTACGGTGGTGATGTTCTGTACATTGATGCAGTCTTGTACGATGGAGTCAAATCTCTCTGCCATCAGTGTCACGATTTCTTCTTCGGTTAGGCAAGGGCTCATAGATTGGAGTGAAATTACACGTTCTGTAAGGTATTCGCTGCGGCTGAGGGTACCATTTGACCGATATTTTTCTGATTCAATTTTGGCTCTTAAGCTGCGTTGTACTTCTCTTGACCAGTATTTAGCTTCGAATTCGTTGGAAAATTGTTCCCAGGAACTTAAGTCGGTCTTAACAAGTTGTAGCCATCTTGAGGCGGGACCTTCGAATGAAGTTTCTAGCAGGTCTTTGAGATATTCAATCGGGTCATAATTGCTGTTTCGCTCAAGTCCTCTGTCGTAATATCTTTTCAATTTATTAAGATATTCTTTTGGGTTGCCACTTCGGCCGTTGAATTTTGGTATTTGTCGGTCTTTCTCTTCATTTCCATTGCATATAATTTTGATTGGGCCTTGGAAGTTTTCAAATGTTTTGCTCTGTTTGAGGGTTTCCACTTCTTGTTCACATTTAGTCAGATTTTGATTTAAACTTTGGATTTCAGCTTGCTGAGATTCTAAAGTTTTGTTTTGGATGGTGAGTTTTGGGAGAATTTCGTTTTGTATGATGGTCAAATTAGCTTTAGAATTCTGTTCGGATTCTTGCCTGGTTCGTTGAGAAAGTTCTTCAATTTTTTGGTCAAAATTCTGTTCATGCATTACCAATTGTGTTTTGACAGCAGATAGGATGTCATTTTGTCTCTGTTGATTTTTATTATCAGATATTGATTGTTGTTGTGTAAGATTATCAATGACGAATTGTCTCATTTGATCTTGTGATTCATCAATTTTTTGTGTGAGTTTTTCATTAAGTTTAATGATTTCCTCAGCTTGTGTTGTCTGAGTGATCTTAATTGAGTTTATTTCGATCTGGAATTTATTTTGACTTTCACGATTTTCTGAAATTTGAGTTTCTAGCGCGTTTCTGCAAGCTTGAATTTCTAGGCTATTAGCATCAATTTTATCATTGAAGCTTTGAGTGAGTTCACTTTTTAATTCATTGAGTTTGCTGTTGATTTTACTGTTAATTTCGGCATGGGATTCGTTAATTTTGCTGTCAATTTTAGCATGGGATTCGTTAATTTTGCTGTCAATTTTAGCATGAGATTCGTCAATTTTGTTGCTCAATTTAGTGTCTAGTTTAGTCATGAGGGCAATTAAAGTATTAATATCTGATGGTGCAATTAGTGTTGATGTGACAGTTGCTGTTGCACCGACAGTTGCACTAGGGTTGTTCTGTTGCCGTGTTGATAGGTCTGGGTGACGTTCGTCGGCGTCGGCTATATTCGGTAACGATCGGCTGTGTTCGGGTGCGGGTGTCTGAGTTATTGATCCGCTAATGTGACCTTGGCTATCACCTGGCATTTGGGAAACATTCAGACTTTGTTTACTGGACAGTTCAGTGGCAACATTTGCAAACAGACTTGTAGGAATGGGAATACTAGTGTCTGATTGGTCCATGGACTCGTTGCTTTCTTCCTCTGTGTGTTCTGACGTCTGCTGTGGATGTGTTTTTTGTTCTGTGTCCGTGCGTGTGATGTCAACAAGATGGCGACCTTCTTCTTCAATCTCGCTCTCGCTGTCAGTGTTGTTGTATTCGAAATTCGTGTTTAGGTTAGAATTTTTCCGGTTGGGTCTTAAATTATAACCTTTCTCGGCCATGATTAATTATTGTGCGAATTGTGCGTGATTAATTAGTGTTTTGTATAACGGTTTTGTATTGTTATTGGGGTTGGGAATATTAATTACGGGACGTACAATAGGCTGAGTTCTTACAATCTAGTACAACTTAAGGTTAACTTAGCCTAAATCGAAAATTGCAATATTTTATGACTACCGTAATATATCATTCGAAAGCCCCACGTTGGGCGCCAAATTTGCTACACACCATAAAGCTTTCTATAGACTTTTCATTAACTTAGGCCTACAAAATTCCTTTGGCTAATAAGTTAGCCCACATTTAATTCAAAGTCATTTCTTTCCTAATAAAGATAATTCCTAATTTGTGTTTTATTTCTGTCTAATAAGGTAAGTCTTTGTCTTAATCTTATAATTATGAATTATTTTAAGAATAAATAGATTTAATAAGTTACAATATAAATTTATTAATGAAATACAAATATAAGTTATTGGTTGAATTAGCTACAGGGTAAGTTAACAATGATGGTAAATTTTCAAAATGGTGGGGTTGCAAAGTGGATGAAAAGATTCTCTAGGCTTAGGCCTATATTGGGTTGGTTTCTTCTTAAGTACTGATTAATATTCAAATAGATGACCTCTTAATCTCAGGGAGGGGTGGTCGTGCCGGTTCGAATGATATATTAGGCTTCTTTAAAATGTAGATAATTTAATTTAGTTATTGTTCTGAAATGCTAGGTTCGTGATGCTATTAATATAATATGTTGAAGTCCAAAGAAAGATTCCAAATGGTTTCACTGAATTTAATGAAATAATGAAATAGAATTTGAAGATTAAATTTTGAATAAAAGTTCAATTTGAAATATGTATATATCTTGATGAGTTGAGTTAATTGGGCCTAGTAGGCTATACTGATTAAATGTCCAATGAAGATTAAATTTGTCCTTAGTTAAATAAGATGGATGATGGTTACCAAATTTGGAGTGTCTGTCTTCTTATAAATTGGTACTCTTCAATGCACTTGTCCAATACTTTTGGATGATGAGAAATTTAAATTTTAGGTTTTACTTTGGGATTATGAATTTTAGTTTAAATTAAACACAATTTCCAATAGAATGATGTTCACACTGTGAAGAGTTGGCAGGATCTGGGGAGAGGCAATGGTAGAAGCTCAGGAAGTCCATGTCCATTGTTGAAGTGATGTACAGCTGGTTAATTTACATGAATGACACTTGCCCCAGTAATTTTGATTTTCTTTGGATAATTTTGAAAAATGATACTATATTTAAGATGTTATTACTATATTGCAATTTTCTTACAATTATATATTATTCTAAATAAATGATTATTGTTGGTTTTTGATGAGTACAGGATAGGTATGGAGAGAATTTGCATAAATATTATATTGTAACATAAAATAGGATGATGTTTCTGTGGGGTGATGGGATATTATATAACATTGAACAAAATTGGATAAAATAACACATTAACAAGGAGGAACATATTAAATAACTGATAACACATTATCAGGGGCATTAACAGACATTATGGGAGAAAATATACAAAATAAAAGAGAAATTAATGTTAATGATGAATGAATGACATGTAATATTACATCCTGGATCAGGTTAAATATCTCAGCAAGAGAATAGTTTTGATTTTAATATTTTTATTGTAAAGGGGCAAGTCATGCATGTCTTTTTGAGTGTACTCTCTGATTTTCTGGTATAAACACTTTTTCTTTAAATAGTCAGCCCCACCGGTTTAATTTCTTGGGGTAAATCAGTGGGAGGTTCTACGTCAAAAGTGATTAGGTGTTTTTCATCAGGGTCGCCTAATCCAACTTTTACATTAGCTACACCTTTTTCATTGCAGTTGAAATGAAAATGACTGAACTTTGTGATCCCTTTAATTGTCTTCCATTTTTATTTCTAAAATATCCTAGCCAGTCAAAAATGTGAAAAAAAACCTTCACCTTGGTTCCAGTAACGGTTACCTTGTTAAGGACTGTGTTGGTTGGGTTTTCAACTATGCTGGCAGGCATTTTGCCAGGGTTGTTGATGTAATCTCTTTGACGTCCCCTATCTTCTCTACCTCACATGAGAACTAGTACAAATAGATTATTGTACCTGAGAGTCCTGTTCTGGCGGGATTTGCCCTGCTGAGGTAATTGCAGGGGTATCCACCAATGATTAAATGGATTGGCGTGTATTTGATGTAATCTCTTCTAACTGCTCTACCTCCTCCCCATGATATGCCTTAGACACTTTTATGGCTTCAGGGTCAATTTATTATGCAAAGTATTTCTCAATTTTTAGTCCCAGATTTTGAAATGCCAATTTACCTGTAAACAAATTACGATTATTAAAAATAGTCACACAAAGTAACTCAAATTAAGGGTACTGCTACTGAAAAAATTATCAAAAATTGTAAAATTATTTGTTTGAGCATTCTCAAATTAGGTCTAAACTTAAATTTATTTTAAATAAAATAATACTTGTTTTGTCATTTAAATAATAGATATTTAAATGTTTTGTGTGTAAATAAATCACTGCACTTTTTGGTTCAATTCAGAATAATATTTTAAGTGAGTTCATAAAATAAAATTGTATTAAGTTAAGCCAGACAGAGAGAGAGAGAGAGAGAGAGAGATAGGCAGACAATGCAGAGGAATGTGCTGCGTATCCTGCTTATCAGTTCCAGCCGACATGATATAGACTGACCAGTGGCTTTTCCTGTACACTGCTCCAACTCACTCAGTTACTATGCAGTCTTCATGTGAATCAACCATTATGAGGGTCTCTGAATCCCTCTAATTATTTTACCATGGGTCTCAGTATCCCATATTAAATCATCAATTATTGACTCTATTGTTTCTACAGAAGTTTTATTTAACCGTGAGGAACATTCACCAGAAGTTTGGATGCACACAGTGTTATATTTTATTTTCTCAAGAAGTGTTAATCTCCATTCCTTGCTATTAATGAACATTCGATAATTTCTTCTCTTCGAGGTCGTGAGTACATCTCTACACATCATTCCTCTCTGTCTATTTCAATTTGGACTTAAATATCTCAGCAAGAGAATAGTTTTGATTTTAATATTTTTATTGTAAAGGGTTAATTTAATTTTGTATTATTATAATATTTTCTTAACTCAAATGAATTTATTATTTTTCCAGTAGTAACTCACTGTTTAGACAGATCAATAAACTTGCTTTCTACTATTATATTAACAAATATCTATTGAACCAGCAATTATTCAGTTTGGTAGCAAAGTCAGGAATTTAATTTTTAATTCCCCTTTGTTCAAACATATTGGTCCTTCGAGCCGGATTCACTTAGTCATTTGTTAATAAATAAAAAAAAAAATGTAAATTAAAATATACTTTTGAGAAACATATTAAAGGATATAAAGTAAGGTTAATTGTATTTGAAGGTTATTGTAGATTACAGTTGAGAATTTGTTTGTTTAAAGGTAGTTATCATATAAAATATTTGGTATTCATTTGGTCTTAGATTAAATTAGATATTTAATTGTAAAACGCTCATACATTTCTCCAGTATTGGATTTGTGGTTTATTAATATTTTTAAGAGTTATTAGGGTTGTTTTGAGAATTTAATCTGAAAATATTTTCTTCTGCTGAATAGTTTTTAACACAAATAAATATTGCTGATTTATATTCTACAATCTTGTTCTATGTGCTGCTGTAATATTATATACAAGCTTATTGAATCATTTTGCAAATCATGGTGTGAATTTTTTTATCTACTTTCATTCTGAATTAGTGGTGTTCTTTGTTGATTTTTTACTATCTTGAAGTATATAACACTTGTCATGTCCATACTTTTGTAAAGATTGCTCAAACATTTATGCCTTTGATTATTTAAATTTTCTCTTGGTATTCAATTTCTGAGGGGGAAAATGAATGCAGAAGATTTTAAGCGCAAGGTTTCTGCCTTGAAAAGAAAATTATCAGATAGTGCTAAGGAAGTCCAAACTATTAATGAGAAGGGTAGGGCAGCTCTCAAAGATCCTGCTCAAGTGAACTTATTCAAGGGTATGTTTAAGGTGTTAGAGAAATATTTTTCCAAATTTGAAACTCTTTGGGATGAACTTATTGACCTACATGAAGATGAAGGAAAAGTCTCAGAATTTCCTGTCGAAGCAGATCTGACTATGCAAACTAAGGCCAAACGTTATTACTACGAGGCACACACAAGCTATGAGGCACTTATGGCTCTTGTTCAGACAACATCACCTCCCTCACGCCAAAGCATTAATCCTAATGAATCAGTTATATCATCTGAAAACAGATCAAATAAAATTTTACCTCGGATCAATCTGCCCCACTTCAATGGACAAATTACAAACTTGCCTAAATTCCGTGATGCATTCTTATCAATTATTCATAATGATGCTTTGTTGACTAAAATGGAGAAATTCCATTACCTGGTTTCCTCACTTGTAGGCACAGCTTCTGCAGTTATAAGTAACTTGCCATTAATAGAAGACAATTATGACTTGGCATGGAAGGCATTGAACGACACGTTTAATAATAAACGTATGCTAGCCTCTAACTTTTTAAATCAGCTCATCCAGTTTAAGCCACAGCAAGGCAAACCTACCATTGATTCTCTACAGAACTTTGTATCACAAGTTTCAGACAATATTGCAGCATTTAAACTGCTAAAAATTCCAAATGAAGCAGATTTTGTATTGTTTCATATTGCTGTTCGATTATTAGATTCTGCGACCAGAGAACAGTTTGAACTTCAACACAAAGATAAAGATTTTCCTGTCTTTGATGATCTTACGAAGTTTCTACGGGAACGATGCCTAGCATTACAGCTCGCCCTTGGAAATTCTCATCAATCCTCACTTGACAATAACTCTGCGAAGCCTAGTGGCGCTATTAAAGGATATAATACTAGATCTTCTAGCCGTGGTATGCGAGCTACACTCCTGGCTAACTCACCAGGAAATAACATGCAATCGAAAGATAACAATAAAGGTTTCACATGCTTTCTATGCAACAGTGGTAGTCATACACTCGGGAGATGTAAAGATTTTATGAATGCAACAGTTGATGAGCGACACAAGATGTTAAGAAATTGGCATGGATGTAAAAATTGCTTGTATGCCAACCACACTATAGGAAAGTGTAACTCAAAGTGGACTTGTAAATTTTGCAAGAAGAGACACCACTCGTTACTACATATTCCAACCTCAGCTGATGAAGAACCGAAAGATAATGCTACTATTGCACCAACTTCGTCTTTGACCACAACTCTTCCTCAACATAGCAACATATTGCTGGGTACTGTAGTTGCTGAGATAAAAGATGCTTCAGGAAGATTTCAACCCATACGTCTAGTGATAGACTCAGGAAGTCAACATTCCTTCATAACTCACAAATGCCTCACCAAACTTGGTTTATCGACAACTCCATATCCAAAGAAGATATCGGCTATTGGCCAGACCATATTTGATGGTGCAAAAGGCAAGGCACTTTGTCATCTGAAGCCAAAAAATCAGGAAACCCCTATCCTCAAAACAGAAGCTGTTGTGATCAACAATATTACTTCATACCTACCCAACTTCACTATGCCTTCTAACTTATGGTCGGAATATACCAAATTTGAACTAGCAGACCCTAAGTTTTGGGAACCTGGACCTATTGAGTTTTTATTGGGCTCTGACTTGTTTCCAGATGTTTGGCTTGGATCTTCGATTACTCTTCATGAAAACCAACCCAAGCTGTTTGCATCAGTCTTTGGCTACATTGCTATTGGGAGAGTTCTTGACTGTCAATCATCCGCTAGTATGAATGCTTCTTTCTTCACCCTTGCTTATGATAAAGATGACATTCATAATCAGCTGCAACGATTTTGGGAACTCGAGGAACCTGCTTCTATCCCAGTCCAAGAAAACCCAGAAGATTTAGCTTGTGAAAAGCATTTTACGGAGACTCACTACAGACTTGAGAGCGGCCAGTACGTTGTTCGCCTACCGTTTAAAAGTGAGCCAAAGCATCTTGGTGACTCTGAAAGAAATTCTCTGAAAAGACTATACAGTCTAGAAACAAAACTGACAAAGAATTCTCTACTTAAGTCTGAATACTGCAATTTCATGAAAGAATACCTTGAACTGGAACACATGAGCCCCACATCATCTACTTCAAAATATGTGATCCCGCACCATTCTGTTACTAAAGAAGATCGCTCACAGATTAAGCTCAGAGTAGTATTTGATGCTTCTTCCCTTACTGACTCTAACACGTCTCTAAACAACCATCTTATGATAGGCCCAAAGTTACAGCAAGATATCAAAGGTATCTTGACAAGATTTAGGATGTATCCAGTAGTTTTTGTGGCTGATATAATAAAAATGTACAGGCAGATTTTAGTTCATCCCTCTGATAGGGTATATCAACACATTTTCTGGAGATTTGATCCTTCTGAAGCTATTCAGAAATATGAACTGAATACAGTAACGTATGGTACTACCTCTGCACCTTTTTTAGCCTTGAGAGTCATGAAACAGCTAGCAACCGATGAAGGGACTGACTATCCACATGCAGCAAAGGCTATTCTTCAAGACATGTATGTCGACGATCTTGTCACTGGTGCTTCTACTGTTGATGAAGCCTTGAAACTCAAGGATGAAGTAATCAATCTTTTACTCAAAGGTCATTTTGGTCTAAGTAAATGGGCCAGTAACTCTCAGGAAATTTTAAATGGAATCAATCCTTCAAAACATATCACACAGATCAACCTCTCATCTAGTGAAGATTCAAATGTCAAGATCCTAGGACTTCAATGGAACCCTTCAAGCGACACGTTTGCATACCAGATTGAACAATTTACCCCTGTGTTTACTAAAAGGGCCATCCTATCAGCTGTGGCAAAGATTTTTGATCCTCTAGCCCTCCGAGTGTCACGCGTCATAAAAATGACGCACAACACACTTTGTGTAGGGTCACGCGTCACTTTTATGACGCACAAACATCGTTTACGGCGAAGGCTCTATGACTGACTGAATCGGATTGAACTGGATCGAGTTAGGTATCGTTCTTTCCGTAATATTCTAAGCTTTCTCCAGAGGTCTGTCTCTAAGCGCTATTCATTTTAGTTCCGAAAATATTGTAGCAGACAGCTGACGTGCGTGTATTTGTAAACAGCTAGGTTCCCCCGGACCGATGACTGATGTGTTTTATTACGTTTATCATTGTTTTAGTGTTAAAAATCAAAAGTAGTGATATACGTGGTGCATTATAAGAAGATTTAAGTGGTTTTGAAGTGCTGGTTGATGATCCTGAAGAAGTAGGTAGTGATATTGAT